GGGGTGACACCAGGAGAGAGGGACAGGTTCTGTCGGGGGGGGTGACACCAGGAGAGAGGGACAGGTTCTGTCGGGGGGGTGACACCAGGACACAGGGACAGGTTGTCGGGAGGACAGCACTGATGGTGTCCCAGAATCAGAAGGGAGAAAGGCAGAGTTGAAGACTGGTCTCACCAGAGTACTTATTTATTTTTATTTACTGCCATAGGATAAGCAACTAGGTAATGTTCATAACAGTTAGCTTTACCAAAATTAAAGTTCAAGTTATATGTTTAAAATATTGTAGCAGAGGATATATATTTATACTGGACTATTTTTACACCTTCTAATATCCTGTCTCAAGTTTGGGCGCAGATGCTGGCGTTGGGTGGGCGTCATGCCCTGTGGCCTCCCCGCCTGCCCATCGGTGCCGCTCCGTCCTGGGCCCCAGTGGTGCCAGCTCAGAGCCGTCCACAACCGCCCTGCATGGGTGTCACCCCCACCTCGCCCTGCCTCAGGCTGCTGTGGCCACCTCTTCTGCGAGTGGTGTTTTATGGGCAGGGGCCTGTCCTGTGTGTTCACACGCTGCCTGTGGCTCTGTGGCTGGAGCGGGGAGGAGTTGAGATGGGGACGCCTTGGCCCTGGACGCTTCTCTGTCCCTCCACGGGGAAAGCGGGCGTGCTGCTCCAGCCCATCTCCTCCTGCAGGCAATCACGCGTGTGCTGGCCACTCTCCCACCCTGCAGCCCACAGACGAGGGGGTGGCACAGGTGACACTGAGGCTGGGCCACATACGCCAGTAGGCTAGAACGTCTTTCAAACACTGAGCCTGCGCCCTTCCTCCTACTACTGAACGCTGTGCGGCCTCTGGTGGCTCAGGGTGTGGCGTTTGTCTGTGGGCACTTGGAGATGCTTTACTTAACTCTTTCTTTCGACCTCTTAAAAAACTAAACCAAGCCAAACCGCAAAGGAAACCTGCACAACTTAAGAGAAACTTGAAAGGGATGGTGTAACTACTAGTTTGTACTAAGTTTTTTTCAAGAAAGGGAAACAAATTTATATATATATATATATATATATATATGCAATATATTTTTACACTGTCTGATTAACGCTGGGGAGTACTGAACGAATCACTTTATCAGCGTGGCGGGTGATGTCCACGTCCTGGGTGTTGTGGAAGGCACTTCTGCCGCCGTCTGACCTGCGCTCATGGGGATGTCTGCGGGGTCCGAGGCCCTGCTGTCCCTCCTGCAGCGCGAGGTGTGGTGTCGCCTGCTGGACTTACCGCCGAGCCTGGCTTGCAAACCCGTAGTGAAACAGCTCGTGTCTGTGTGCACACGGCCCCTGTGTGTCTGCTGTTGTTAACATTGTGTGTCGCATTGGTCAAGTGACGAATAAATGTGTTAAAACATGGATTTCTCTGTTCCTTGGAGTGCACGGCGTCCGTAACAGACAGCGGGGGACGGGAACCAGAGGGGCTCAGGTGGGCGTGTGCAGAGCGCGTCCGCTGGGCGGAAGCTCACAGGGCTGAGCCGCGTGTCCCCGTCGCCCAAGGGAGTCTCTCGCTTCCTCGTTAGACAGGACTGTGAAGAAGGAAGAAGCAGACCAGCTGCCTGTCAGGTATGAGGCCTGGTCTGGTGCCGGTGCAGCCCTGGGTGGGGTGTAGATTGAAGGGGAATGGATGTGAACACTCTGACCACCAACCACCGTCGCCCCCAAAACAGAGCGTTGTCATCATAGGCTACTATAAAGAAAAATGCCTGAAATACCACCCAGCGAACAGTTTCCCCAAATGAGGACACATAAAGGCATTCTTAGACAGTGAAAGGAGAATTTGCCACCGGCAGACACTGAGAAATTCTAAATGCAGAAAGAAAAGGTGATCACAGATGGTATGCCTGGTGTGTGAAGAAAGTGGAGCAAAGGGAATCAATAGGTAAATAATCCAAATTAACAGCGACTGTATCAATACTTTGTGAGATTAAAATGTTTTGTGAAAATACATGGGAACCGCCACAGGTAAGCAGAAGGGAGCATGGGGAGGGGCGTGCGCCTCGCGCTGGAGGAACCTGGGGTGGGTAAGAGCGTGGCCTGAACGCACACCTGGCGTAAGAATGAACAGAGGCAGAGCACAGTCTCCAAACAAGCAGAGTGGGGCGTGCGGAGTGACAGGGGAGCATCTGAAAATGGCAAACGCAGAGATGGAAGAAATCATGGAACACAGCAAACAGCACGAAATGAGAGGTTAGATTTAAACTAGTGAGCCGGTGGATCAATCACACTCGCTGATAAAGCAAGACAGAAACACAGAACAAGGAAATGGATAAAATACTATTTTAACCCATACCTATTTGTAATTTCAGGCTGGCCAAAGATAGAAAGACCAGATCAGAACTCGAAATGAAAAGAAAATGGAGGCAAAGGGTGGTTTTTCGAAAGGACTGAAGAGAAAGTTCAAACCACCAATAAGAATGGCAAAGAATGGGCTGGGTCCCCTGGAAGCAGATGCTGAGTCCTGTGAGCCCCTGTCTACAGCTGTGGAGACGAGAAACTGTGGAAATAAAAGACACAAGACACCAAGAAAGAGAAAACAGAGTTTGGGCCCAGGGTCCACTGCCAACCAAAGCGCGGAGTCTGGCCGTGGCCCCGGGTGTCCGCACGCTCTGACTTTTATTGAGTACGCAGCAGGGGGCAGGGCAGGTGGGGTGAGGTGATGGTGGTCAGTGGTAGGGTCAGGCACATCACGGGTCTAGGGATGGGCACCCGGGACTTTCAAGTAGCCGAGATGAGGTAAGGAGCATAATGGGTCAGCACTTTTTCCAGACTTGTCAAGAAAGGACAAGGACATTAAGATTGATGTTACTTTTACTGATAATCTCTTCTAAGGAAAAGGGGAACCAGGTGCAGAAGCAGAGCGTGAGAGTGGACATGGAATGTGACCTCTGAAGCACAGCGTCACACAGAGACAGGTACGCCCCGATGCCTGCAGGTCTCCCTGACAGCCGACAGGCCTTGACTGCAAGAGCTTGGAGGGGTGGAGTTTCCTCCTAACTCCCCCGAGGAAGGAGACTATCCTTCTGCAGCTGCTAAACAGCGGGCGCTTTCCCAGCGCTGGGGCTGCCGCACAGCCAAGGCGCCCTCCAGCAGCCCTTCCCCAGGCGTGACAGAGGGCTTAGAGCCTCTTGCCTTAGGGTCACCTCTTTCACAATGTCACCCCAGGTTCACACTTCCCGACCTGACAGGCATTAGTAAAAGATAATGCTGAGTATATACACATATCTTAATGGTTACCTATGAGTCACTAAGATCACCTGTGAATAACCAAGATCACCTTTGAATAACTACTCTGGTTATATCTCTAGTTATTTTCTTCCTCATTATTTATATGGGAACAGGCCGAGGCTTCTGACTCCTGCCTTGGCATTTACGCGGTCTCCCACCCACACGGAGTGGCCTTTGTCTCACCAGAGGCTCACTGAACGGCACAGGGGAGGAAGCAAGGTGGCCGGGGGGAGGTGGCCTGCTGGCTGGAGATGCCTGGTAGGGACCCCCTGCGGCTCGTATGAGGGCTGGGCTCTGCTGCTCGGACTCGGCTTTGGCTGCCTGGGCGTGCATCCTCAGCTCCGCAGCCCAGGCACTGCCGGACGGCATGGGTGGCTGGAGATGGTCTCTGACCCTGCACTCCTTGCTCTGGGTGGCAAGAACTTGCTTGAAGGGACACAACTGTCCTTACATCTCTGCCATGGGAACACAACTTCAAATGCTGAAGCCATTCTAATGTCGTTAAAGATTATGTGTATTACACCCCCCAAAACTGAAAATTAAGATAATATGGACCAATCCTTAGAGACACATAACTCATAAAAACTAACTCCAAAAGAAATGGAATGCCTGCTCAGCCCTGTGACTTAGGGTAAGTCAGCTACAGGGGAAAACACTGGCGCCTCAATGGTGGGGCACGCAGAACTTACCATTCACAGCACATCCAGCTTCAGGAGTAAAGGAGGTCTCTTCCAACGGAAGACGAGCAGGCTTGCAAACCCCGAGATGCGGCTGCCCCGGTCACCGGCAGGGAAGCTCTCCAAGTGGCGCCCCAGCTCCCCACCGCTCTGGCCCCCAAACGACTCACCTCGACGGCCCCATGCACAGGCCATAGCTCAGAAGCAGTGACGTGGCCCCAACCCAGCTCGGACATGCAGGGCCAATGAGGGGGACACAGGGGCGGTCATGTGAACGGCTCTGCCACCTCCGGGAACGCTGAGTTCTACTGGATCCTCAGTCAGACCTCCTGACAAAGAAAGCTACAGGCACAGGTGACTTCACCAGCAAGATCCATCACACACCCATGGATGGAGTCCTTATAATGTTAAGTAAGTTCTCCTAGAGAATGGGGAAAGAACGCACAACCCGGCGCGTTTGGCGGTGGTGTAAAGATGCGGGGCCTGGCACGAACAGCGTCACAAAGGACAACCGTACGTCTCCGTAGCCGTGAAGACAGATCCTGACGGCGTGCCACCGCAGCCACCCCATGCTCGGGGTGCGCCGAGGCCGTCCGAGAGTTCCATTCACGCCAACTCATTTCACCCTCACAAAACCCTGTGAGGAAGGCACTAGTCCCCGTTTCACAGATGAGGAAATCAGGGCCCAAACACAGGTGGTAAGCGGTAGAGCCGGGCCACAAAATGCTAAACAAAATAGTCACAAACCAAATACAATAATATGTATGTAAAAGAAAATCCGAAATTATTAAGTTGGATTTATCTCAGAAATTCAAGGATTTTTTTCACAGTAGCAAATTATGGCTGTTCACCACATCAATATATTAAATGAGAAAAATCATGTGGTATTCTCAAACATTGCAGAAAAAGTGATAAAATTCATCCATTCCTGATGCAAACTATTGACAGAAGAAGCTTTAAAACCACAACAAAATGATCTATTACAAGTAAGCGGATACATGGTGAGAATTTGTCACCCCTCTGAATATCCGGAGCGTGATGTCTACTCTGCCACCTCTCATCGGCATTGCACTAGGGGTTCCGACCAGTGCAGAAAAGCAAAATACAAAACAAAAATAAAAACATGAAGTGAAAATCCAGAGTAGCAGGAAAGGGAAAGAAAACCCATCACTCACAGGGAACAGGACTGGGTGCCCAGTGAGGAGAAAACAGCAGGAGGCAAATCAGGAACGTTACTGGATTGCTGGCTACAAACTAATACATGAACATGGAATCAACACGTAATTAGGAAAATGAAATCCAAACACATGTTTAAAAACAGCATTGCAAAATAACAAGGACCTAGGATTAAACGTGACAAAAAACGTACCAGACCACTGTGAAAAGTATCCAGCTGTGCTAAGTCCTTCTATCCAGGAGAAACCCTGTATTCACAGTCCACATTCACTGTCTGTACACCCCAGTGTCACAAGGGTGTCGGTTACTCCCAAGTTGATCTACAGGTGAAACCCCAAACAAAATCCCAGCTCAACCAGCTACTTCTAAAATGCATAAACCCCAAGGGTCAAAAGCAGCCAAGACGTCCTCACTTTGGATGGAAGGACGCGCCCTGGAATGTGGTTCTGGCACAGAGACAGACAAGGAGGTGCAGAAACAGACACAGAAATCATCCTGATGGGCCGGGCGCGGTGACTCACGCCTATAATCCCAGCACTTTGGGAGGCTGAGGTGGGTGGATCACGAGGTCAAGAGATCAAGACCATCCTGGTCAACATGGTGAAACCCAGTCTCTACTAAAAAATACAAAAATTAGCTGGGCATGGTGGTGCGCGCCTGTAGTCCCAGCTACTCGGGAGGCTGAGGCAGGAGAATTGCTTGAACTCAGAAGGTGGAGGTTGCGGTGAGCCAAGATCGCGCCATTGCACTCCAGCCTGGGTAACAAGAGCGAAACTCCGTCTCAAAAAAAAATCATCCTGACGAAAGAGCCTTCGCCTGCCAGGCCTGGGAAGACTAGTCTATGTCCGGAACACCATGAAATGGGACCCTTCACCTCCACCACAGGCACAAAAATTAATTCTGGGTAGAATCTATATCTAAAATCCAAAATATGCAACACAGCAGAATATCTTTATGACCAAGGCAGAGTAAAGATTATTAAAAATTAGGATCCAAAATGCTTTAATCATAAAAGAAAATATTGATACACTGGGCCACATTGTTTAAAATTTCCCTTCACTAAAAGATGCCATTAAAGTAAAAAGATAAGAAAAGCTATTTGCAAATGTAACTCACAAAGCACTGCTACCCAGAACCATAAATAACACCTGCCAATAAATGAGACAGACCATCCCATAGACAAACAGGGAAAATACCTGCAAGGTACTTTACCAACAGAAAGTCCCAGTAAGTCACAGACACGTGGGACGGTGCCAAACAGGGAGAAGCCAATGAAGCCAGGAGGAGGCCGAGCCCACACCCTCCGGAGCGAGGTGCTAACACCTCAGCAGTGGGTGCGGAAAACACGGGCCAGCAGACGGGATCACACACGACTAGCAGTCGGGCCTGCTGGTGCAACCATGGGGAACAGTTTGGAATTTCTAGTAAACCTGCTAGGATGTTAATGGAAACATGAACATAATATTAGGGATATAAAACTAATAAAAATAATCAAATGGAATTTTTTTTTTTTTTTTGAGATGGAGTCTCACTCTGTCACCCAGGCTAGGCTGCAGTGGTGCAATCTCGGCTCACTGCAACCTCCGCCTCCCAGGTACAAGGGATTCTCCTGCCTCAGTCTCCCGAGTAGCTGGGACTACAGGTGCATGCCACAAACTAATTTTCATTTTTAGCAGAGATGGAGTTTCACAATGCTGGCCAGGCTGGTCTCGAACTCCTGACCTCAAGTGATCCTCCTGCCTCAGCCTTCCAAAGTGCTGGGATTGCAGGTGTTAGCCACCCGGCCCAGCCTCAAATAAATTTTAGAGCTAAAAATATATCTAATTTCTTATATAAAAACCTCACTATACAAGCTTAACATCAAATTAGGCAAGTGAAAGAAAAGATTAGTAAACTTTGCCACAGGACAATAAAACCATCTAAAGTGAAGGATGAGAGAACAAGGATGAAAAATAATTGAGTTTATTA